TATATATATATATTTCTCTTTATTTTTACTAAATACCACTAAACTATTTTTTACTCATAGATTCCATACATATAAACTCATAATTTATAATGGCTTGAATTTGCTAAAATGCACGTTCAGAATTAAGCCTTCAGTCTATGTTTAAAATCCATTTTTTTTAGCCAACGTCACCCGCCGCCCGCCCCCTGTCGAGTCTCGTGTAAATTAACTCACTCGGTGACAACAGCTGATGTCCCCCTTGCATCATCTATCTTCGGTGTCTGACAACAACCTACGACAACTGTAATTACATTAATCCATTGGCACGCTTCGTCGGCTCTCGCTTAGCTATTCCGTCTTTCTCTCTGTCGGTCGCACCGCCCGCCCGCTTGCCCGCTCATCCGCTGCGCCATGAATATCAAATAACCAATCAACGCATAAAAAATTTTTCGCACTAATCCAAATGCAAAATAAAAAGAGTGTAAAAATAAATGAAGGCAGGCAAATCAATCAATGAATCGGAGCCCAGGACAAGGATGCACAGCAGCAGCAGCAACAGCAGCAGCACCAATAGCAACACCAACAGCGACCCAAATCAATCAAAGTTTTTGTGTGCACTCAACAATATTTTAAACTTTTTTAGCCGCTGTTGACTTAAGCCACGTGTAAGTTGCCATGTTTGTCATGCCGCACAATGAGGCTCACGTACACACGCACACACACACACACAAAAGGTGACAACAACACAAACAACAACGGGAAGATCAACAATATAGGCATATTCATAACCAGCTCAATCGAACCCATCTCAGCTGCCAGACAATGGCTCTAAATAAACTCAACCCTCGGCTGGCGTATTCGCATGTCTCTGTTTGCCTCGTGCTATCCCTTTCTATTTTCGCCAGCTCAAAATTTGATACAAATTATGCAAATGCTCTGGTTTCTTATCAGCAAATTAGCAACAGCCGGCAGGCGCTGCCAGACCACGATTGATTATCCCAAATGCAAATTGAAGCTGCAAAAAGAGCCAAAAATGGAAATCTGAAAAAAAAAAAAAAAACTGAAATCTGAATACTTTTTTTGCGTCGGATCATTTATCAAGCATGGCAACAACTTGCAGCGCTTTGGCAAATCACATAGAATGATGATTAATTTGCACGTGATTTGAGCCAGAGCCGGCGCGATTAACAGCAGCAGCAGCAGCCGCAGCAGGAGGAGTCCACTGTCCAGTGTGCACTCTCCAGCGGCTACTGTCTGCTAATGTTTGCATAAATGTTTGAGCTGTTGAGTCAACACGGAGAGGGAGCAACTGCAGCTCTATATGAATGGCGGGCTAGGGGAGCGATGTCGAAGCCGACGCGTCGCAATAATTAATGATGATATGAAGGTATCGCAGTCATGCGATATTAGCATGATAAATGAGCAGATGACCAGTTGACCAGTTGGCCAGCTGACCAGTTGACCGGCTGACCAGCTAACTGGATCCTTATCCAAACTCCAGATGCATTTGCTAATAAAAATTGTGAAATCTTCAGCGCATGCGTAGCTTGAAAAATTGATAAAGATAATAAATAAATCAAAAATTATATAAATTGATTAAAGTTGATTTTTTCTTTTCTATTTAAAACGCAAGGAAACGCATACGAAACACTTTTATTTATTTATGAATTGGGTTGTTTGAGCAGCATTGAAACGAAAGCATCACCTAAAAATGTTTTGCCAGTCAAATTGCGATCCAGGTTGGAGAAATCTTTACCGTTGGCGTAGGGGGCCACATTTCTGGTTTGCAAATAGTAAGTGCCACGTGCCGTGGGCCGTGCCCTGTAGCCAAATCGCTCAATGTTCGCACTGGGATGGCACTGGTACTTTATGTAGCTTATCATATTATTACAATAGAAGCCATAGAAGCCAACGGGCGAGGTAATTGACTCGGCATAGTAGTCCGCCGAACGTTTGTGATAGCATTGATAGGTGGTCACTGTAAGCACAGAGCGAATGACTCAATTGTAAAGCATATACCACTAGAATTTCTACTACTAACTTTGGGATATGTCTCCACAACCGGGCTGCGATATGCCCGAGTTGGGATAAAAGTCCACATGCCCCAGGGGCATCAATATGCCATGGAAAAACACGTCCGAATGAATCACATCCACAAAGGCGGCATCGCTTTTGTCCAAGCGGGCCTGAATATCGTCGGTGAGATACAATGGCTTGGCGGGATCTAGCGCTGATATGCGGTTCACTCGTTTGTTCAACTTTTGCAGCATTTTCGCCGCAAATCCAGCCACATGGGCACCGATGCCAAATCCAATCATATGCGCGTTTGACAAATCCGCACCGGCACTAACCAAAAGGTAAGCCAAACAGCGACCCACAATGCGTGAGTTGTGCACAGCTTCACTATAGCAGGGATCGACGGCTAGATTCGTATATTCTAAGGAGAGTACGTCTACCTTCTTGTTGCGTATCAATAACGGTAGCAATTGCCTATTCGGCGACGCGGTCCGAGAACCAGCGTATCCATGTATCAGAACATGCAGTTGTCTCCTAGGTAGGAATCTGTCACTTTCGGTAAACCTAGCGCCTTCGGGATTGTCATGTCTATAAAGAGTCTCAGATCAGATCAGATCTGAAAAGAAATTCCAACAACACGCTTACGTATGCAGCCAGAAGGTAATATTCCAATTGGGACACTCGTCACTCTTCAGTGCAAAACAATTTGTCGGGGTCAATAAGATGTTAGCAGAAGCCAGCTCCAAGCCAATGCATCCTGTTGGAAGTATATTTGAATAGATTTGAATATATCTGACCTCTACATATATGATTATCCTTCAAGTACCCAGTATTATTATAAGATTCAACATTTTACTGCATTGCCTCAGTCCACAAAGCTAACGACTGAGCCTATTAACTGGATATTTTGACTCTTTAAACATTTATCGTCGCAATTAATTAGCATGACTTATAGAATTTGTTGAGCTATTTATATACAGTTATTTTCAAATATATATTCGCCACACAAATGCGTATTATATTTCATTTGAAAGTTAGTCATAAGTTGAATAAATCAGTTCGTTCTCTTTCAGTATTAATAAATAAATCGTAAATGTTATATATCAAATTATAACAAACCATTAAAGCGAGGCTAATCATCTTCTATAAACACATTACTAACATTCCTTAAGTCAGTAAAAAAAAAAAAATA